AAGGAGGACTTGTGGCACCTTAGAGACTAACAAATTTATTAGAGCATAAGCTTTCCTGAGCTACATCTCACTTCATCAGATGCATTCAGTGGAAAATACAGTGGGGAGATTTATATACACAGAGAACATGAAACAATGGGTGTTACCATACACACTGTAAGGAGAGTGATCAGGTAAGGTGAGCTATTACCAGCAGGAGAACGGGGGCTGGAGGGACACCTTTTGTAGTGATGATCAAGGTGGGCCATTCCCAACAGTTGACAAGAACGTCTGAGGAACGGGGGGGGATAAACATGGAGAAATAGTTTTACTTTGTGTAATGACCCATCCACTCCCAGTCTTTATTCAAGCCTAAGTTAATTGTATCCAGTTTGCAAATTAATTCCAATTCAGCAGTCTTGACCTCCTTTGTACAAGATTTGGTGCCACTATAGGACCTTGGTTGCAACAATGATCTATACGGTCACAGTTCATGTCAATAACGTCACCCCCCGTTCATTTATCACACCATACCATGTCAGATCAGTAGTCCATCTGTTCCAATATCCGGTCTGTGATAGTGGCCAATACCAACTGCTTAAGAGGAGGTGCAAGAAACCCCATTATAGACCATTCTAAAATAACACGTTACCTGCCTGTAGGGGAAACGTCTTCCTAACCTTTGATGTACTGGGGCGTGTGTGTATGTATGTATCTATCGCTATATATAAATAAAAAGAATATACTACTTTTTTTTTCTTTTTCCTGGTGAGGGTTGTGTGGAGAGTAGGGAGGACCCAGACCTCCTTTTCCTTCCCAACAGGTTCCAGCTCATCCTGGGGGATTCCCCAGCGTTCCCAGGACAGTCGGGAGATATTATCCCTCCAGCATGTCCTGGGTTGGTCTTTGCCCTGTGGGATGTGCTCACTGTAGTTCCAACGGAAGCCTGCCACGGGCATTCTTATCAGGTGCCCAAACCACCGCAGCTGGCTCCTCTTGATCCGGAGAAGTAGCGGTTCTACTCCCAAGGCTCTCCCGAATAGCTGAGCTCTTCGCCCTGTCTCAAAGAGTAAGCCCAGCCACCCTGTGTAGAAACCTCATTTCCGCCGCTTGTACCCACGATCTCGTCCTTTCGGTCATTACCCAAAGTTCATGATCCTAGATCAGGATCATGTAAATGTAAATCTTCCTGTAAATCGAGAGCTTCGTCTGAGTAGTCAGCTCCTGCTTTACCACCGCGGATCGGTACTGCCGCTGCCGCACATGTTGATCTCATGCTCCCACTTGTCATCACTCGTGAAGAAGACCCCTAGATACCTGAACTCATCAACTAAGGGCTGCTGCTCTCTCTTCCTTCCTCCCCCCGCCCCCTCCCCACACACCTGGAGAGAGCAGTCCACTTTCTTCTGGGAGTGGACCTTGACATCTGATCTGGAGGTGCTGATTCTCATCCCAGCAGCTTCACATTTAGCAGCAAAACGTTTGAGTGCACATCAGACACTGCAGTCTGAAGAAGCAAAAAGGACAGCATCATCTGGAAACAGCAGAGATGTCACGTCTGAGTCACCATACCGGTTGCACTCCACAGCTCGGCTGCGCCTTGATATCCTGTCCGTGAAAATCAGGAACAGGAGTGGGGACAGGACACACCCTTGGTGGAGTCCAACGCCCACCTTGAACGAACTCTGCTTAATGCCAAGAATACAAACACCATTCTATTCCAGAGAATAGAGGGACTGGATAGCATGCAAAAGCGCCACTGGCACCTCATGCTCCCACAGCGCTTCCCACAAGACATCTCAGGGAACATGGTCATATGCTTTCTCCAGATCTACAAAACAAAGGTAGACCAGATTAGGAAACTCCCACGACCCCTTGAGTATCTGTGAGAGAGAAAAGAGCTGGTCCATTGTTCCACAGCCAGGACGGAATCCACATTGTTCCTCCTTGAATCTGAGGCCCAACTAATGGGCATAAGCTCCTTTCCAGTCTTCGGCCCAAAGTCCTCTGGTACCAAGTTCTTTTATGAGCAACTTTGTGTTCAAACATGGTATTCGTTATGGAGACTCCATGACTAGCACAGAAGTCCAATAACAACTCACCTCTTGGGTCCAGACCAGGGAGGCTGTTCCTCCCGGTATCTCCATCGTTCCCCACATGAACGTTGAAGTCCCCCAGTAGAACTATGACTTTAAAAAAAAATCCTATGTAGTATAACTGTGGTGGTGATCTCAGTAGAGATTAAAAAACAAAACAACCACCTGCTTACATACCACTCAGGGTCCCGTGTGATTTTTTTATAGGCTTATTAGACATGGAAAAGACCTATTGGATTATCTAGTCAATCTATGCACATGAAGCATTCTTCAGTATGTCATCTTAAGTTTTTGTACAGTCTTGTTATAAAAGTCACAAGTGATGGGGCTTCCACAACTACTTAGATGATTTTGTAGGTTAATAGCACTGATTTAAATAGCTTTTTCCAGATATTCAGCCTAAATATTTTTTCCTGTTTCATTATTTTCTCATCCTATCGTTCTTACTTAAACTAAGAATATTATGCTAAATTCCTCTTCTCCAAATATTGTAGTCCCTCCTCCCTTTTTCTTATTGCTTAGCCAAGATGTATATATTAGCTCTTTTACTCTTCGAGTCCATTTTGTGCTTGCTTTTGTATTTTTTCTGAGCTTTTTTCCAATTGCTAATATTTTATAGTAATGTGATGCCTAGAATATAAAGGCACTTAGCCCTTCCTCCCTCTCTGATTACATATACTCCACCACGCATTGATCCGTATCGCATTGCAAGCTTGTCTCTCTCTCTTCTTTATAGTGACTATTACTATGTACATATGAAGATGGTTGATTACCTACTACCTCTAGGTCTCTCATAATTATAATTGTTGCTTCTCGACTTTCTCCCTCCAATTGTATATCTGCATTTTCTAATTAATTTTTCCCTACGTTTATTAGCTTTCACTCTTCCAAATTGATTGAGAACTTGGATAGAAGAAGTGACAATCTGCCTGTATCTCACCTTATTATTTCTTTGTTTTTACTAGTGTTCAAGTTTCCTTCCAACATAGTAACCACACACTTTTTTAATGCACTAGTAATGGTCCTTTTTCCAATTCATTAATACAGACGTTAAATAAAACTGGACCTAACACAGATCCCTGCAGAACCCCTTTTGGGCACCTCCCTACACTTGATATATTGCATGTTCCTGTTTGTGTAAAGCGTTTGTTTTTAGTTTTCAGTCTGAGTGTTCCAATCCTAGATAAAATCTTACTTGAAAATTAATTTCTTATGTAACGATGTATCAAATGCTTGTTAAAATCCAAGTATATTGTATCTACTGTGTTCTATAGTCACTTACTCTGTAACCACCATAAAAGCAGTCAAATTTGTCTGAGAAGATTTGTTCTTTAAAAGGCTATAATAGTGTCTTTTTCTCATTTGGTAACTCTGTAGGGTGGTAATCCACTGCATTTATGTAACATCTGAGTAATTGAGCTGTGTGAGGATGAAGCACACATAGGCTTCAAAGGTGAACTCTGCTTCCCAATCTGTGGCCAGGGACAGCCCCTAGTGCAGATGCTGAGTCTTTCTGCATGTGCAGGGTGTGCAAAGGTACCTTTGTGTTGTCACTGCACCCATGGCCAACCCTGCACAACTTCAGTGTGGTGCTGAGGGCTTTGTGTTGGCCATTTGCTTATACTAGTACTAAATTCATCCTATGTTCTCTACACTTTTATTATGTATAAATTCATCAGATTCATGCTTTTCAGTATTAAAGGAGTCTCAGCAAGAGGGGCAAATATATTTGCATACAGCTTTTTTTATTCTTCAGAGTTCCTACCCACTTCTATTATCAAATGCTTTAGCAATTTTGTGTTGGGCTTTTCTTCACTGTTACCGTATAGGAAGTCTTTCTTTCAAATGTACTGTATTGTGCCTTTTTATTTTGAAAGGTTGTGCACACCAGGGCGAGCGCAAAAGGAAATGTGTTGCTTCACAGCCTCCATGTTACATTTACAAAAATGAGCCAAACAAATAAAACACTACTTGGATTAAGTTCTTGGTTGAAGATGAAAAAAATTGCAGTTTGAGATTAAATTTGTTTTTGCTAGGCTTCATTTTTGTGTGTTGTAGATTTAATTGACAAATAGTGATTAATACACATTTTTTTTAAAAAAGCGTGAGGTTTTCAAATACACTAGAGCAGTGGTTTTCAAACTTTTTTTTCTGGTGACCCAGTTGGATAAAATTGTTGATGCCCATAACCCAACGGAGCTGGGGACAAGGGTTGGGAGGGGCTTGGGACTGGGACAGAGGGTTCAGATGTGGGGGTGAGGGCTGCGGGGTGGGGCTGGGAATGAGGTGTTCAGGGTGTGGGTGGGGGCTCTGGGCTGGGGCAAGGGGTTGGGGTGTGGGAGGGGGTCAGGGCTCTATCCTGCCAGTGCAGGCTCTGGGGTGGGGCTGGGGATGAGGGGTGGGGGGTGTGGGGGGGGGGAGCTCAAGTCTGGGTCAGGGGATCAGGGTGCAGGATTTGGTCATGGTCTTACCTCCGGTGGCTCCCGGTAGCGGTGCAGCTGGGGTGCAGAGGCAGGCTTCTGTCCTGGCACTGTGGACCATGCTGTGCCCTGGAAGCGACCAGCAGCAGGTCTGGCTCCTAGGCAGAGGTGCGCAAATGGCTTTGCGTGGGGTAGCACTGCCTGCTGTTGGATATTAGTAGTGCCATTACAGTAGCTGGCAAGGTTGGCCCTAGGCATTTAGTTGGCATCACCAAACTTGTTCTGTGACTCTACTTAATGCTGTGGTTGGTGTGAGCTGCCTATTTCAATGGGCTGCAACTCTTGGCTACAGCAGAAAGAGACATAGAGGAAAATGACTTAGGTACCATGTATTGTGGTTACTTATGGTTTAATTATGGTCTTGTGAGAATGCATTCCAATTGGCCAAGCGGTACCATTTGCAATGTGTGTGATATTAAACTTTTTTTCCCCCTTGTGTAACTAGGGGAAATGGAAGAAGAGATGGAAAACCCAGAAATGGTTGATTTACCAGAGAAACAGAAACATCAGCTAAGGCATAGAGAACTGTTTCTCTCACGACAGCTGGAATCTTTACCTGCCACACACATAAGGTAATGACTTAATTCTTCTAGCACTGTTTAGTCAAGAAGCAAACAGTGCAATGTTAGTCCAGTATTCTTCCTGTGTAAGAATAAACTTTATGCAAAAGTTAGTAATACCATTGTATATATCCTAAGTTTAATGTATTTTTTTCATAAAATGTGATTTCTTTCTTTTTTAGAGGCAAATGCAGCGTTACTCTGTTAAATGAGACAGAATCCCTTAAATCATATCTGGAACGGGAGGTATGAATCCATTTTGCGAATTGCAAAGTTTCACCAGGTTATTTTGCCACAGTTTAGTATTGGTGGCTCTCTGCAAGTAGCCCAATTATGAGGTTTTCTTTTTTTCTCATTTCTGGGGTTTATTGGGTGTTGTCAGGGCCACTAAAAAACATTAAGGTCAATAAAATTGTCTGGTTCTGCAATTTTCATTTTGCTGTAAAAATTTTTGTGGCTCTAGCAGGCAAAAGCCCGTTGTTTAAATATATATTTGTGACAACACTAAACCATTCCTCCTCTTATAAAAGAAACCATACTTATTTTGTCAGCCCAGTAGTCTGAAAGTTCAAAGATTAAGATTCACCTGTTGACAGGAATAAACTGAAATACATAATAAAAGTTGCTGTTAGCAACCATTATAGTTGAGACTGCAAAACAGTTTGCCCTATTTTTGCAAGGTCATTTTCTGAAACTACCTACTGAGGCTGAAATTTTGGTTGGTATCTCTTCAAAGTTAAATTATTTCTGGAAGGTTCAATCAAATCTATTCTTGAGTTATAGGAAAGTGTGTGTGTGTGGGGGAAATACCCCCTCTTTTTTTGGGGGGGGTATCCATTCATAAATTAATTTTTCTAACCAATCTATTTTTAATGCAACAACATAACTGCTAAAGCGTCAAACTTGAAGCTAGGATTAGACTTTCAGTGGTAGTGAGAGTCCTTCAGAATTTTTATTCATTCTTCTTAATGAGGAGCATGTGCTCTCGTAAGCCTGCGAAAGAGAAAACAAAGGTTTTAGACAATTACAAAATTACTTGTGAACAAACTCAGTGGACATCTGCTGAAGTTTTAACAGAGGTCATTGAAGCCTCATCTCTTCTATGACGTTAGTGCACATACTCTCACTTTCTAGGCTGATGGATGCAAAGACAGTTTGTCATATTGTGCACACTGGAAAATTTTATATTATTTTTCTGATTAAATGCACCGCATACTATATTATTTGATGCTGTAGAATATATACATCATAGGATATAGAAGCTATTTAAATTGGCTGAATTAACATTATATTGGAACCCTAGGGCTACATTTTTGCTAGTGACTCAATTTTTGGTTATCCAGATTGCTTTTTAGGAAATGTCAAGCACCCACCCTCTGGATGTCGGGCCTATTAAAGTAGCTCTAGCTGAACACCTAAAAATTGGGGCATTCCAAGCCACTAGTATCTGCTTAAGATTTAGGCCTTGGACCTTACTTTCTGGTATTTTTGTGAATTTAAACTGTGCAGCCTTAATCTTATATTAACACATTTATGTGTGTTTAATTTTAGTTACAATTGACATCTCTGAGCTGCCCGCTGGTGTCAGCAATCTTATTGGAATTTGACCTGACTGTCTGGGAGCTTCGTTTCAGAGATTAGCAAGTTTTTTTTTTAATTTTATTTATATGGTGAGGTAAAAGGGAATTTTAGTATGAAAGTAGCATTACAAACATCTGCAAGGGTGTTGTTGTCCTTTGAGCAGACTTAAATGTTACATAAGTATGAGAGACAGGAAAAATCTATTGATTGAAAACATTATGGCAACAGCTGTTAACTTGTTTAAAAAATGAAAACAGGTCTTGCACATTGTAAACTGGAATCTGTTCCTTGATCAAGCTTTCTTATAAACACATTTCTAACCTACTTTAATACTTGTTTAATAGTCAGAAAATTAATTGAATCTATTATTCATGTTTAAGATTTTTTTAAAAAAGTTACTTAATTGCTGAATATTCAGTTTTCTTTTCAGAATGTTAAACTAGAAACATGGCGAGTCTCACCTAAGGCTGCCAAATGGACAGGGTGTTAAACAAGGCCCATTGAATTCAGAAAATGGTCACCAGCAGCAGGTAGCTGAGAAAATGCCAATTGAAAGCGCAAGTTTAGAAAGCCTAGTTAGTTTCATAATTCGATAATACTTAGTTGCTTAGTGCTCTTCATCCTACAGATCTTGAGACGCTTTTCAAAGGAAAGAAGTATATTTATCCCCACTGTAGAGATGGATAAACTGAGACAGAGGGGAACTGACGTGCCCACGGTCATGCAGCAGTTTAGGTGCAGATCTGGGATGAGAACCCTGGTAACTTTCCCTTTGAACTGTCAGAATTCTGGGCTGAGTGATGTTGGCTATTTTTAAAACTGAGCAGGCACTTTGGGAAGAAACTTCACACAATAAGAGAGGTTTCATGAAGGTGTTCTGTTACCACAGCAAGGACCTGTTTCAGTGCTAACAAACTTAGTAGACGTAGAAGATAGAGAGAAATGAAGAGTTTTAGAAAACATGTGGGTGTGGACAATGGAGAGAGCAATGAAAAGAAAGGGCTGAAGAGAGTGAGGAGAATAGGAGACAATTGCCCTCCCATAAATTCATAATAGGTGGTAAAAAGAAAAGGAGTACTTGTGGCACCTTAGAGACTAACCAATTTATTTGAGCATAAGCTTTCGTGAGCTACAGCTCACTTCATCGAATCCTTATGAAGTGAGCTGTAGCTCACGAAAGCTTATGCTCAAATAAATTGGTTAGTCTCTAAGGTGCCACAAGTACTCCTTTTCTTTTTGCGAATACAGACTAACACGGCTGCTACTCTGAAACCTGTCATTATAATAGGTGGTGTAATACCTGCCTATCCCTTTCAACCTCCTTACCTTTTCTCCCCCATCCCTGAAAACCTCACTTTCAATTTCAAATGTGGCTGCCACTGAAAAAGGAAAAACAGTGTCCTAGAGATCTGGAATCTGGCCCCCACATATGGTGTCCGCTCCCGGGGGAGAGGGAGTCAGACCTGGCACTGTGTATCCAGTAGTAAGTGAGACAAACAGGCTGAACTTCTGGGGGAGGTCATGGACAAAACAAAAGTGATCTTCATCTGGGTAGTGGAGATTTGCTTAGATACCCCTTCCAATGGAAGATTTTGTTAAACTCCTTGGGACAGGCTAGCACTGATACCACTGCTGGTTCAGATTGCATTTGGAAGAGGGGAAGAATAAGGAGGAAGAGAAGCGTGGGGAGAATCTGAATTTACTGTCGTCGTTGATCGCAAAGAGGCTTGGGATGAGAACACAGAACCACTTACAAGGGTGGCAGAAGCACTTAAGCTAGTCTTTCCTCCTCCACTCCAGGCAATGTTTTATGTCCCCAAACTATTTCATTGCCTTGCAAGCATGCATCCAGCAGCCTGGGAGAACTTTGCGCTATGGGTGGTTGCCCAGGCTGCTCACTAGTCTGTGAATGGCCCTGAAAAGGAAAAATAAACTGTAGTATGTTTCAAATGTGTTTTAATTGAGCTGGCAAAATCTAATTAGCAAGACGGTTAACTAATTAGTGTTTCTGACCTTAGATTAGTTGTGTACGACCAACATCTCTTGATTTCTGTATCTTCCTTAAAGAGATGTGGGGGGGAAGGGGGAGAATATCTTTTTATTGGACCAACTTTTGCTACTGAAAGAGACATTCCTTCATGCTCTGTGAAAGCTTGTGTCTTTCACCAGCTGGAGTTGGTCCAGTAAAAGATCCTCAGTCCAATACAGCCACAATAACACTGCAAACAACAAAATATTTTCCTGTCCATTTCAGCCATATTTTTTTCTGGCCATTTCCCTTTCCCTACTTTTCTGTAATTTCCTTTGGCTTTGGTCTTTGGCTAACATTACTGACAAACTAGGGAGGGGTCAGGGTCAGAAAGGGACATTCAGAACACATCTGCCACACCTCATTTTCTTCATAGTTCAATTCTAATTCCAGCAATCCATTTTGATTTTTTCTAAACATGTTGAGCATAAATGATATTTTATATATTTTTAATTTTCTCTTCTCTTCCTTTCAAGAATTGCTGTGAAAGAGGTATATACAGTTTTTACGGCTAAAATGAGCACAGACTTTGTGAAAGGACTGTACCATTTCCTGTGTAGGTTTGAATGTAACTTTTTCCAGCATTTTGACTCTTCTGAAAATGGTCTAATGTGACTTCCACTACCATGTGGTACAGAAGAGTCCATCTGGCCTTTTGAGATGACGGAACTCTCAGCTCCCCTGGAGTATGCTTTGCATTTGGACTCCAGTAGGAGTGAGACTACATTGCTACAAACTTAATTCCACAGGAGTAGGTTTTTGAAAAGCCTGTTAAACGAGCAGCATGCAGCTTGTGAGAAGAACTTGTGTTCTTCCCAGTGGTGTCTTGGAGGAAGATGGCAGGGGCTTTGTTCCATAGCTTGGGGCAACAGGCTCCCTTGCTCAGGGATCCCAGGTGTCCATCTTCCTTCTAATGGGTGAGAGGAGGACTGTAAGTCAAGGCAATTTTCAGTATTTTAGATCTTTGTGTTGATGAATCTGCTACCAAACTTAAGAAAAACAGAACTTGGCATATTTCTTTTGGGAACAAGGATGAGAACAGTAGAGAGGGTTGGGTTTTTCTTCCTAAACAGAAATGGAAAGTGTTTGTTTTGTTTTGTTTTTTTTTTAAATAGAAATGTGTTTGGGAGTTTCAGTAAGTAAATATCTACCTTCTCTAGCCAATGAAACGTACAGTAGCCAACTTACTGGCAGAGGGAAAGAAGTGTAAAAGAGTTACAACAGGACACTAAAAATGCAAATCCCACATGACACACCATTTTTTCCAAGGCTAAAGTTTTTAAAAATGGATGCTAGGAGTTGGCTCCTGGATCAGATCTGATCTTCCAAAGTGTGGTGAGCACCCAAATGCTGCCAATTGAGGTCATGGGAGGCGATGGTTACAAGGCACTTTAGAAAATCTGTCTGTTTACTTAGGTGCTGAAATATACAGCTAGAAGCCTTTAGAATCCAATTTTTGAAAATCTTGACTGGAGAGACGTTACAAATCAGAACTGGGGTCTGTGTTGTAATAGCATGCTGCACGTACATTCTGCCTATGCCCTACTGCTGACATGTCCCTTCTTTCCCATATTGGCAGGGGTGGAGGGTAGATGTCAGAACTGGTGGCAGAACCATCTCACTGCTCGCAGAAAGTTCATCTGCACAAGCAGTATTCTTCTCTGGCCATTTTACTGCTTTAAGGAGTGGACTGGAGTATCTGGCCTCCTGAGCCTATAGCATGACATGCTACATTGCTTTGCTTGAGAATTTTCTGGGCAATCTGCCTGAAAATGATGACTGTTACACTAGAGATGGATACTTTTGGGGATGAAACACAAATAAAACACTCACATTTGTAATACTGAGACATGCAGAACAAAAACTCCCTTTACTCTTGTTTGTGACAATACTGACTTAAATGTTTTATAACGGACAAGATGATGAGCCTAATCCTGATCAGCACTAAAGCTGCCTTGCACTGCTCTTGCATCAATTATATTTACACCCTCACTGAGGCCCCTTTGTACTGTCAGAGTGATGTAAAGCACCATTAGTGTGCATGAGTATTAGGCCCAATATTCTCATTTAGATTCATATAGGCCCTGCTCCAATGACGATTCAAGTCCAAACGAATGCTGCCATTTTCATGAATGGGCTTAGGATCAGGGCTTTGTTAAGCACCAGCGTCATGCTCCATACTGTGCAAGACACAAAATAAGACTCTTAACAGGCTTGGAGAGTTCAGTCTAAAGTGGAAATAGGATGGGTGTTCCGTCTGCTGCTGGAGATCAGGATTGACTCTTTCCTTGCTATCGAGACTATTCAAAAGTTTAAAGTTCTTGGATTTGGTAACTGGATACCATGATTATTGGTGTAATAGAAATACAGCGAGATGGGGGAAACTTCATAGATCCTTTCTTATCAACCCTGGATGTGCGTGTGGTATGTGTTTGTGCATGCAAGTGGGGCTCAGGAAGCAGAAGTGACTTGCAGTTGTAAGCCTTCAGGCTACAGTAGTCTACCAAGTGTATGAATGTGCGTTGTGACCTAGCAACGGCTTCTTCCGTTCCTTGGGCTTGTACAACTTATTGTCCCCATTGAAGCTCAAAGTGAGCTGGAGTGCACAATACCGCCATTCTGCAGCACTGCTTTATTTTCTCTGCCCTCTACAGCTCCATGTATGGGCAGCAGGGAAAGTATGTTGTGAGAGGAGTCCACATACCGTCGCAGTGTAGGTAGTTGCCAAAGGGCTTATTGGTTGCTCTCTGGAATATTGCAAGGCACGGCCGCATTTTTAATTGCCTCAGCAGTGCCATATCGTGTAGTCTTCTGCGAGAGGAGGAGAATTCACTACCATCGCGTATTGATTTTAATGGTTTTGTTTCGATCCTTATACCGTGTATGTGTCACATTTTTCCGGGATGTTATTCATTGTGGTGCCAGACCCCCATTTGCATCACACAAGAGGAAATTGTGCTCATGTTAGCTGTAACAACTGTATATGTGTTCCTAAGTAAATGAAGCCATTTTGGAGGAGTATTGTTTTATTTTCACAAGAAAGTCATAGCATTTCATTTTGTTTTTTAAGACTGGTGTTTGGTTTATAGTTCATCCACCTGATTAAAAAAATATAGATAAAAACTGACCACTAGCTGTTGTTAATGTTGCTTGCCTTTTGTCTTTTTTTGTTTTGTTTTTAGGATTTCTTCTTTTATTCACTAGTGTATGATCCACAACAAAAGACTCTCCTAGCTGATAAAGGAGAGATTCGAGTTGGAAACAGATACCAGGCAGATATAACAGACTTATTAAAAGAAGGTAATTTCCATGATTTTGTTAGAATTGTCAAGATACCTTGTTGAAAATGGCCTTGTTTTGTTTTATTTTATTTTTGGAATGGTCTGTTGGCTCATGGGTTATGGAATCTTTCACCTCAAGGTAACATGGTGGGTACTATGTCGTGGTTTCTTAGAGGCTAATGTGGTGTTACCAGCTGAAGGCAATTAGTTGGGTTTCAGTCCAAGCTCAAGTGGGCAGCTGTCCAGGTCATAAAAGCTGTTGAAACAAATTGGATTAATTGGTTCCCTCTGAGCCTATTCTTTTTTTTTTCTTTTTTTTTTTTTAAATAAGATGTCTGAGAATTGCCAAATTTTCACCACGCCCATGAAAGGTGTTTTTGTGTTCTGAATCAACCCTCTCCTCACACCAATGGTCCTTTTCAACCCGTCGCTCATTAAATACTGTCTGCTCATTACTCCTGGGTGCCAACAGCCATCTAGCCACCCATCACTTTTGGCTGTGATGCTGGAACTCTCACTTATAGAGCAGGAGCGATTAAGGATTTGCTGGCATTCCAGGACAAAGGAAATTGTGGGGATTTACTGCCGTCTCCTGATGTATGTAAGGGAGAAGAACTGTAGGATTCATTGTCCCTTTTCCTGCATGCCCAAGGAAAGGGAGCTGGAGCTCTGGGGATGTTTGCTTTCAAACACTCCCAGGCCCTGAAGGAGGGGAAGCAAACAGATAATCCCTCTTATCCCCTCCCGTTTTCTGTCTCTCTCCTGCGGTGGGGGTGTTCTTTCCTTCCTTTCTCTGGGGGGGTGAACAGCTGTGAACCACAGTACAAGGATCTCCATCATATCTTCTGAATGTGCCATTCTTCTGGCCTGAGGTGTGAGGTAACATTGGTGCTTTGATCTGTGCTTGCTGACATTGTTTAGCTTAGTTTTAGACCAGGCAGAAGGGGTGGATCACAGATCAGCATTTGTTTGCTCTGCTTGGGAAACTGGTATGTTTCAGCTACAACTGGGCTAGCCTCCCAGCATGAGAGGAGGAAGAGTTAACCTTTATGAACAGTCCTCTCCACACATTGGGAAGACAGGGCTGAGGGAAGAAGGATCTTCTAGAGAACAAAAGGGAGGCCCATGTTTGCTGGGCTGGGAAGAGAAGAAACTATAGTGAGGGAAGATGGTCCAGGAAAAGATTTACCAAACTGTGTGCGGATGTCCTTCATACAGCTCCACTCCACCACACAGCGCCGCTACCCCCCCCCTCCCCCATCAGTTGATGAATGTGTATTGCGGGGACTGGAGAGAGTTTTTGTGATGAAGGGTGAGAAAAAGAATGGGAGGAAGAAAGGTAAAAAATGTAGGGGAACAATGGGGCAAATGACACAGGGAAGGTGAAAGTAAAAGGTTTGATAGAGGAAAAAGAGGTACACTAATATAGAGACTGTAAAATGTGGCAAGCCTTAAAGTGGAGGAGAAGTGAAGGAATAATAGCAATGAAGGTGTGCATTAAAAATTTATTTAATGGATAAATGAGTGTGATATGCATACTGTGTGGAAAGATCCCAAATTCTCAGCATTCTGTTATCATTGTCAGTCACATGGTGTGTTGGAACTTTATGCTCCAGCATGAACTTCCTGGTATTTCTAGGGGTTGCTTGGGTCATTTTTAGAACGGAAAATACAGTGATATGTAAGAATACATTTTTGTTTAAAAAATATTGAAGTATGCAACATCTTTCTATAGACATAACACACTAAACATATAGGCCAACTTTTTCTGCATGACATGGTGAAAAAGTTGTCCAGACTGTCATTGTATTGCACTTTTGGCCCACATCCCATTATCACTGATCAGGTGACCATATTGTCTGGGCAGCAGTTACAAGTCCACTTCTCCATGTGCCACAAGACTTGAAAATGGACATTATTATGGGATAGCGTGGATATGAACAGACTTAAAAAAGTTTACCAGATATCCTGACTACTAGCGAAAGCTGATCCAGTGTAATCTAGGGACACAGCTATGGTGGGAACATAGCCTATATCTTGCAATAACCGTGGCAGAGCAGATAGCTGTGTAGCTGGGTTGCAGTTGCCACAGGCAAATGCGTGAAAGGCTTTCCAGCCATGGCGACACAAACAGCAAGATAAAGTGCTTTAATAGACCAAGGGCCTGGCAGTTACATAATTTTGGGGTGAGATGAAATACAGAAGAGAAAAAGCTTTTATTCTTTCTGAAAGCTGCTATGCCAAAACATTTCTAACTTGCATTTCAACCAGGTGAAGAAGATGGAAGAGATCAATCAAAACTTGAAACAAAGGTTTGGGAAGCATTTAATCCGCTAATAGACAAACAGATAGACCAGTTCTTGGTGGTAGCACGGTAAGAAAATTTGGCCTTTCCTTGGGGAAAAAAACTAAAGAATTTTTTTTTTTTTTTTTAAATTTTGGTGGTGATTTCTTGTTTCACCTTCTCCTATCCCAAACCCAGTGTTCATGTTTGTTTCTCTGTCTTCTGGTATGAACTTTTTTGGTTGTTGGTTCACTTCTCCTTTCTGAAAAAGGTGTGTTTCGCTTGCCTAAATGGGGTATGAGACTGAATAGTTGTTCCCAATCTGAGACACAAAATGCAGATAAAATACAGGCATTATGGACAACCATATCCTGGGAGTTTACTGAAATACCTATTTTTAACATTTTGATGGGAGTGTGGTAAGGGTTTTCAAATAGCATTGCTAGATTATGTAGATACAGTTTATTTTGGGGCAAAATCTTCAAAATCTGTACAGTTAATAGATGTTGAAAATGTACATTTTTCCAGCTCAAAACCCCACCCCAATCCATGATGATTTTATTTAAAAAAAAAAAAAATCTTGATCTCATTACTCTGAAATGTTTTCATGAACATAGCATGTATTTGAAAGTTTTTCACAGTAGACCCATTAGGCTCCAATTTAATTCTGTGAATGAAAACTTAATTCTAAAACATTAAATGAAATTGGTGAGAATATCAAATTTCTTCTTGAGCCTATCAGGTAAGTTTACAGAACTGTCTGAAAGCCTGGAAGGAAAAGGGAATGGGTGAAGTAATTGGAGAGAGGGGTGTGGTTAGTGAATGGAGTCAAATGTCATTGGATGTTGAAGGGAGGAGAATGGGTGGAGTTACGAATTGTTAGCGGAACTTGGGGTTTGCTAGAATCTAGGAACTTGTGCAAGTTATGCAGGGCATCTGATAACGTGGACCCTGATTCAGAAAACTGTCAGTTCTGTTGCTGATGTACATTGCTGTATAGGAATGATAAACTAAACATGTCCCTTTTAAGTGTTTTGCTGAATTGGGGTCATGGTTTGAAAAGATATTTAGCTTTCCTATTTTTCACTTGTAAGTGTTCGTTGTGTTGAATTCACGAGATGGTGGTACCCATTCTAGCACTGGTTCAGGAGAGCATTCCTAATTGAAGGCTAGCACTTAAGCATGTGCTCAAACTTTTCTGAAGTCTGTTGATGAATATTGCAAAAAAGTATTTAGCATTTACCAAACATCAGGGAACATCTTGTTTATCCTCGTCCTGGTACCCTCACAAGGAACGTACAGGTGGAGATACCTTGATGCATGTTGTTTGCAGATGATATCCTTCTATGCAGTGAGGGGAAATATAGTTTAGAAGAGGATCTTGATAAATGGAGAGATGTGTTGGAGAGACATGGATGCAAAATAAGCAGAGGAGGAAAAGAAAAGTATGTGGCATGTAATGTGAACGCTGAAGAATAATGGTTGAAACTAGGTGGGCAGACAATACCGAAAACGCAAAGTTTCAAGTATCTGGACTTCAGACTCTGGGGAAAGGGACGGTGAAATCAGAGCTTAGATAATAAATGCATGGCTCAAATGGAGAGAGATAAGTGGTGTAATGTGTGACAGGAAGATACCAATAAGATTAAAAGGGAAAATCTATAGAATTGTGGTCTATCCAGTTTGAAAGTATGGCTGGGGGTATTGGGCAATAAAGAAGAAACATGAGCAAATGATCACTTCCACAGAAATGCGAATGTTGAGATGGATGAGCACTGTGAACAAGAGAGTCCACATGAGGAAGGAGTATGTTGGCAGCAAGCTCAAAGTAACACTCAGAAATAGAAAAAGTGAGGGAGTGCAGGTTCACATGGTTTGGTTATGTAAAATGCAGTACTGACAACTATGTGGATAAGCATCTAACAGATCAAGATGGAAGGAAAAAGAGGCCAACCCAAGAAGAAATAGTGGAATGTCATAAAGGAACACGTTAGCATGTAGTGTGATAGAGGATATGGGACTGGAGGACTTGTAGAGTGAACACATTTGATGCAGTTAGCACAAGCGAGAAGAAAAAACCATCAGTGTAGGAGTTTAGCATGTTGAGTAAGATGCTGTTGAAGGGCATAGTAGGGAACAAACGAGTGAGTGAAGTGAAATAGTAAAGGGAAATAATTCTTCAAAATAAAATGCCAAATATTGTTAAGAAGCAAGATGGAAAGGGCTCATACTCATCTCAGTGTACACAAAATGGTTTATTTTCCTGATTCTCGAATGTGCTATTGAAGGGAACGTTCATCAATATTTTAAAAAATGACTAGCGATTTTTGCTTGTCCAGTTTGGGACAGCTTAAGGTGCTAGACTAAGTGCTCGGACCAACTGGGGAGCCAAGGGTTGACCTCGGTTGGCTAAATTGAAGTAAAAATATTAGCTTGTATCTATACTACAGAAAATGTCAGAGTTCGCTCGGGGTTAGCTAATGCGTGTTTGCTAACACGTTTTTCCTGATCTAGATATACCCTTTCTCGTCCTGCGTTGTGGCTGAGCTAAGACGAATTCACTGTGGAATTCATTGGCTTTAGTAAGTTTTGTGTTGATGCTCCCACAGCATTTCTACTTTCTGTGAAGAGTGTGAGTAGAGAAGCAAAACTTACTAAAGCTAACCTCAGACACACCACAGTGGATTCTAGTGGAACAGTGAGAGGGAGGAAAATGGAGAACAGATAATTGGGGAGCAACAGCCAGTGGGAAATAAGGGGAAGCAAATGAGGGAAAAGGGGAGAACACACTTTTTTTTTTTATTTATATAAATAATCGTATGCTTCTTGCCAAGACTCCCACCTGCTGATATATCTGAGAAATTTGGAAAGACCTGACAAGCTGGGTGTGACAAGTGGTGAATGTGGATATGGTAAAGGCTGGGAATGAGGAAGGTCATGTGAGTTTGGGGGCGTAATGAGTTTATATAATGGGCATTCCTGGAAAGGCTGGAAAGAAGAGTTGGATTGCTATCTCCCTCCCCCTCCACCGCCAACTATAAATGTAGGACATAGGTTGCAGAATGTGAAACTGTTTAAATGTGAATAGACTGTCTTCTGAAACTTTCTTAGAGGGATGATGATTGGATCACTGCTGTTCCTCCTTCCACCTGTTATCTTGGCAGCTATCTCTTCTCCTTCGTGCCTTCAGTTAATTAAAAACTGCTCTTATCTTCATGGAAAGGGTTTTGATGTGCCTGAAACTTGATGTAGATCAGGTTTCCAAGTTCCAGGCTGACCTAGCCATATCTCTTGCGGGGTGGGGAGACAAGGATACACCCCAATGTGATCCCCGAGAGTTTGTCTCTCTCCTTGTGCCTCCTGCTATGCATGAACGTAACTTAAGGCCTTGTGAGCTAAGCAGAATGAAGCATATGTAATAGCAAGCCACATGATGAAAAGGATCTCCGGCTTGGAGCCAGAACATAACTGTAAGTCCTGATACGACGAATGACAGCGCTGTTCACTGTGAGCCGCTAGCCTCAGAAATTGTGTGTGTGGATTTTCCTGTATTCACTTTGCATGCAAGATTAATATTCTCTTAATCCTTTTCAGCTCTGTTGGTACATTTGCCCGGGCCCTAGACTGCAGTAGTTCTGTCAGACAGCCAAGTTTGCACATGAGTGCTGCTGCAGCTTCCAGGGACATCACACTGGTAAGATTAAGAGGATTTTGAGAGAAATGTAAAATATGCACCTCTGCTACAGCAATAGGCACATGTAAGGATGGACAGGTGGATTGTGATCGTGATTCAGCTACTGCTTTTGTAAAGGTACAGTTAGGTAAATGCTGCAATTAGATTACTGCCAACCATTTTTGAATTTTATTGCAATGTTTCCTGCCCAGTGCTTAGTCATCTCCTGTGGTACACATACTAAGAATCAAATGAAGTAAAAATCTTAAATGAATCCACATGTTCCATAGAATCTCTATGGATAGTAATTCCATGCTCTACTAAGAATATAACAGTAGGGATCTATTATCGACCACCTGACCAGGACAGTGATAGTGACTATGAAATGCTAAGGGAGATTAGAGAGGCTATCAAAATAAAGAACTCCATAATAATGGGGGATTTCAATTATCCCCATATTGACTGGGTACATGTCACCTCCGGACGAAATGTAGAGACAAAATTTCTTGATACTTTAAATGACTGCGTCTTGGAGCAGCTGGTACAGGAACCCACAAGGGGAGAGCAATTCTCGATTTAGTCCTGAATGGAGCACAGGATCTGGTCCAAGAGGTAACTGTAACAGGACCGCTTGGAAATAGTGACCATCATAATATAACATTTAACATTCCTGTGGTGGGAAGAACACCTCAGCAGCCCAACACTGTGGCATTTAATTTCAGAAAGGGGAACTGTGCAAAAATGAGGAGGTCAGTTAAACAGAAATGAAAAGGTACGGTGACAAGAGTAAAATCCCTGCAAGCTGCATGGACACTTTTCAAAGACACCATAATAGAGGCTCAACTTAAATGTATATCCCAAATTAAAAAACACAGTAAAAGAACTAAAGAAGAGCCACTGTGGCTTAACAACCATGTAAAAGAAGCAGTGAGAGATAAAAGGACATCTTTTAAAAAATGGAAGTCAAATCCTAGTGAGATAAATAGAAAGGAGCATAAAAACTGCCAAATTAAGTGTAAAAATGTAAAAAGAGAAGCCAAAAAGGAGTTTGAAGAACAGCTAGTCAAAACCTCAAAAGGTAATAACAAAATGTTTAAGTACATCAGAAGTAGCAAGCCTGCTAAACAACCAATGGGGCCCCTAGACAATCGAGATACAAAAGGAGCACTTAAAGACAATAAAGTAATTGCAGAGAAACTAAATTAATTCTGTGCTTCACTCTTCATGGCTGAGGATGTTAGGGAGATTCGCAAACCTGAGCTGTCCTTTTTAGGTAACAAATCTGAGGAATTGTCACAGATTGAAGTGTCATTAGAGGAGGTTTTGGAATTAATTGAGAAACTTAACAGTAACAAGTCACCAGGACCAGATGGCATTCACCCAAGAGTTCTGAAAGAACTCAAATGTGAAATTGTGGAACTATTAACTGTGGTTTGTAACCTGTCCTTTAAATCAGCTTCTGTACCCAGTGACTGGAAGATAGCTAATATAGCGCCAATATTTAAGAAGGGCTCTAGAGGTGATCCTAGCAATTAGACCGGTAAGTCTAATGTCAGTACCGGGCAAATTAGTTGAAACAATAGTTAAGAATAAAATTGTCAGACACATAGAAGAACATAAATTGTTGGGCAAAAGTCAACATGGTTTCTGTAAAGGGAAATCATGTCTTATTAATCTATTAGAGGTTTCAGAGTAACAGCTGTGTTAGTCTGTATTCGCAAAAAGAAAAGGAGTACTTGTGGCACCTTAGAGACTAACACATTTATTTGAGCATAAGCTTTCGTGAGCTACAGCTCACTTCATTGGATGCATTCAGTGGAAAATACAGTGTGGAGATTTATATACATAGGGAACATGAAACAATGGGTGTTACCATACACACTGTGATGAGAGTGATCACTTAAAGGTGAGCTATTACCAGCAAAAGAGCCGGGGGGGACATTTTGTAGTGATAATCAAGGTGGGCCATTTCTAGCAGTTGACAAGAATGTCTGAGGAACAGTGGCGGGGGGGGGGGGGGAGGAATAAACAAGGGGAAATAGTTTTACTTTGTGTAATGACCCATCCACTCCTAGTCTCTATTCAAGCCTAAGTTAATTGTATCCAGTTTGCAACTTAATTCCAGTTCAGCAGTCTCTTGTTGGAGTTTTTTTGTTGAAGAATTTCAACAAAAAAACTTCAAAAAAAGACTTGTCAACTGGTAGAAATGGCCCACCTTGATTATCACTACTCTCCTGCGGCTTAAGTGATCACTCTCGTTACAGTGTGTATGGTAACACCCATTGTTTCATGTTCCCTATGTATATAAATCTCCACACTGTATTTTCCACTGAATGCATCCAATGAAGTGAGCTGTAGCTCACGAAAGCTTATGCTCAAATAAATGTGTTAGTCTCTAAGGTGCCACAAGTACTCCTTTTCTTTTTGATCTATTAGAGTTCATTGAAGGGGTCAACAAACATGTGGACAAGGGGGATCCAGTGGACATAGTGTACTTAGATTTCCAGAAAGCCTTTGACAAGGTCCCTCACCAAAGGCTCCTATGTAAATTTTAAGTTGTCATGGGATAAGAGGGAAGATCCTTTCATGGATTGAAAACTGGTTAAAAGATAGGGAACAAAGGGTAGGAATAAAAGGTAAATTTTCAGAATGGAGAGGGTAACTAGTGGTGTTTCCCAAGGGTCAGTCCTAGGACCAATCCTATTCAATTTATGCATAAATAATCTGGAGAAAGGGGTAAACAGTGAGGTGGCAAAGTTTGCAGATGATACTAAACTGCTCAAGATAATTAAGTCCAAAGCAGACCGTGAAGAGCTTCAAAAAGATCTCACAAAATGAAGTTTTTGGGCAACAAAATGGCAAATGGAATTTAATGTGGATAAATGTAAAGTAATGCACATTGGAAAAAATAACCACAACTATACATACAATATGATGGGGATTAATTTAGCTACAACTAATCAGGAAAGAGATCTTGGAGTCATTGTGGATAGTTCTCTGACGACGTCCACACAGTGTACAGCGGCAGTCAAAAAAGCAAACAGGATGTTAGGCATCATTTAAAAAGGGATGTTGAATATCTTATTGCCCTTATATAAATCCATGGTACGCCCACATCTTGAATACTGCATACAGATGTGGTCTCATCTCAAAAGAGAGATACTGACATTAGGAAAGGTTCAGAGAAGGGCAACTAAAATGATTAGGGGTTTGGAACGGGTCCCATATGAGGAGAGATTAGAGGCTAGGACTTTTCAGCTTGGAAAAGAGGAGACAAAGCGGGGATATGGTAGAGGTATATAAAATCGTGACTGGTGTGGAGAAGTGAATAAGGAAAAGTTATTTATTTGTTCCCATAATATAAGAACTAGGGGTCACCAAATGAAATTTATGGGCCGCAGGTTTAAAACAAATAAAAGGAAGTTCTTCACACAGTCAATCAGTGGAACTCCTTGCCTGAGGAAGTTGTGAAGGCTAGGACTATAACCAGGTTTAAAAGAGAACTAGATAAATTCATGGAGGTTAAGTCCATTAATGGCTATTAGTCAGGATGGGTAAGGAATGGAGTCCCTAGCCTCTGTTTGTCAGAGAGTTGAGCTGGATGGCAGGAGAGAGATCACTTGATCATTACCTGTTAGGTTCTCTCCCTCTGGGGCACCTGGTATTGGCCATTGTCAGCAGACAGGATACTGGGCTGGATGGACCTTTGGTCTGACCCAGTATGGCCATCCTTATGTTCTTAAGTAACTGTCTTGAAAACAACAGATTAGTTGGCTGTGTGAAACACGATAACTGTGGAACACCTGCATCTGATCAATTCCAAAAAATCAGGGAATATTCTAGCTATCTATGGGTGAAAAAGATCAGAACAGAAAACTTGGCTATCAAATGTATTGTTCCCTAGTAGTATTTGCTCAATTTCAGTACAGACTGTTCCTTCTCTATTTTGAGTTATTTATAACTAGAGACCTACCAAATTTATGGCCGTAAAAAACACGTCACAGACAGTGAAATCTGGTCTTTTGTATACTTTTTCCCTATATTATACAGATTTCACAGGGGAGGCCAGCATTTCTCAAATTGGGGGTCCTGACCCAAAAGGGAGTTGCAGGGGGCTGGCAAGGTTATTTTAGGGGGGTCACAGTATTGCCACCCTTATTTCTGCGCTGCCTTCAGAGCTGGGCAACCGGAGAGCAGCGGCTGATGGCCAGATGCCCAGCTCTGAAACCCTTCCCCGTCAGCCGCAGCACAGAAGTAAGGGTGGCAATACCATACCATGCCACTCTTACTTCTGCGCTGCCGCCTTCAGAGCTGGGTGGCTGGAGAGTGCCGGCTGCTGACTGAGAGTCCAGCTCTGCAGGCAGCAGCGCAGAAGTAAAGGTGGCAATACCACACCAGGCCATCCTTTCTTCTGCGGTGCTGCTGGTGGCAGCTCTGCCTTCAGAGCTGGGCTCCCAGCTAGCAGCCACTGCTCTCCAGCTGACCAGCTCTGAAGGCAGCACCATTGCCAGCAGCAGCACAGAAGTAAAGGTAGCAGTACCACAACCCCTCCTTCGATAATCTTGAGACTTCTTTTTGGGGTCCTTTTTGGGTCAGGACCCATACAATTATAACACCTGACATTTCAGATTTAAATGGCTGAAATCATGAAATTTATGATTTTTAAAATCCTGTGACCATGAAATTGACTAAAATGGGCTGTGAATTTAGTAGGGCTCTATTTATAATAAAGTTCACCAAGTGGTAGTATTGTGATATAAAGTAATGTTTTACAATCTTTTGAATTTAATGAGACAAAAAGGAAAATTCAAGCTGTGTATCAACTTCCTGACAATGAGATGCATGAATTTGTTGAAGAGTCTCCAAAGGAAAGTATTGGAAGCCCCAGTGCTTGGGTCATTTCAACTGAACAGGACAAAGCACTGTAGAATAAATCCATAATGCACAAAACTGTAAGAACAGTCAAGGTTCCTAAGGGCGAATAACCTGTAACTTAAAACCACCAAAATTAGGAAATAGAGTAAGGCCTTCACCCTGTATCATCTCTCTCTCTCACTCATCACATCCCTACTCCAAGCAAATTATCCATTATCAACCACAGACAAGGTTAACTCTGCCCTAGTTGGTGTGGTTTTGATTGAGGTGTGTTTGCACTTTGGAACTTAAACTGTTTTTAAGGGATTTTTGGTTCTATATTAGGTTGTAGTTAGTAAGATGCATTGATACGGGTTTTTTTGTTTGTAATGACAGGTTTCAGAGGAACAGCCGTGTTAGTCTGTATTCGCAAAAAGAAAAGGAGTACTTGTGGCACCTTAGAGACTAACCAATTTATTTGAGCATGAGCTTTCGTGAGCTACAGCTCACTTCATCAGATGTATACCGTGGAAACTGCAGCAGACTTTATATACACACAGAGAATATGAAACAATACCTCCTCCCACCCCACTGTCCTGCTGGTAATAGCTTATCTAAAGTGATCAACAGGTGGGCCATTTCCAGCACAAATCCAGGTTTTCTCACCCTCCACCCCCCCACACAAATTCACTCTCCTGCTGGTGCTAGCCCATCCAAAGTGACAACTCTTTACATAATCAAGTCGGGCTATTTCCTGCATAGATCCAGGTTTTCTCACATCCCCCCCACCCCCATACACACACAAACTCACTCTCCTGCTGGTAATAGCTCATCTAAACTGACCACTCTCCAAGTTTAAATCCAAGTTAAACCAGAACATCTGGGGGGGGGGGGGGGTAGGAAAAAACAAGAGGAAACAGGCTACCTTGCATAATGACTTAGCCACTCCCAGTCTCTATTTAAGCCTAAATTAATAGTATCCAATTTGCAAATGAATTCCAATTCAGCAGTTTCTCGCTGGAGTCTGGAGTCAACAAAGCCCGTTGCCAATTGTGCCCACATATCTATTCAGGGGACACCATCACAGGGCCTAATAACATCAGCCACACTATCAGAGGCTCGTTCACCTGCACATCCACCAATGTGATATGCCATCATGTGCCAGCAATGCCCCTCTGCCATGTACATTGGTCAAACTGGACAGTCTCTACGTAAAAGAATAAATGGACACAAATCAGATGTCAAGAATTATAACATTCATAAACCAGTCGGAGAACACTTCAATCTCTCTGGTCACGCAATCACAGACATGAAGGTCGCTATCTTAAAACAAAAAAACTTCAAATCCAGACTCCAGCGAGAAACTGCTGAATTGGAATTCATTTGCAAATTGGATACTATTAATTTAGGCTTAAATAGAGACTGGGAGTGGCTAAGTCATTATGCAAGGTAGCCTGTTTCCTCTTGTTTTTTTCCTACCCCCCCCCCCCCAAGATGTTCTGGTTTAACTTGGATTTAAACATGGAGAGTGGTCAGTTTAGATGAGCTATTACCAGCAGGAGAGTGAGTTTGTGTGTGTATGGGGGTGGGGGGGATGTGAGAAAACCTGGATCTATGCAGGAAATAGCCCGACTTGATTATGTAAAGAGTTGTCACTTTGGATGGGCTAGCACCAGCAGGAGAGTGAATTTGTGTGGGGGGGTGGAGGGTGAGAAAACCTGGATTTGTGCTGGAAATGGCCCACCTGTTGATCACTTTAGATAAGCTATTACCAGCAGGACAGTGGGGTGGGAGGAGGTATTGTTTCATATTCTCTGTGTGTATATAAAGTCTGCTGCAGTTTCCACGGTATACATCTGATGAAGTGAGCTGTAGCTCATGAAAGCTCATGCTCAAATAAATTGGTTAGTCTCTAAGGTGCCACAAGTACTCCTTTTCTTTTTGTTTGTAATGTAATTGCTATTGATTATGAGTAAAAGAAGATGCACAATAAATTTGAGTTTGTGTGGCTTGCCCTCAAAGGCGCCCTCACCTCTGCTCCATCCATGGATGGAATCTAACAGGGCTTTCCCATTAGAGGTTTCTACGATTGTACCATTTCATTAGGTTTTTATATCTAGTGACTGAATCAGATTAGTGCTGGAGTAGATGAGTAGAAATTATGGATATGTGGGATCAACTTTTCCAAAAAAATGCCATTATTAGACGATCATCGCACCCATTTACTAGTAGTGAATGGTCAGTCTAGGACTGGTTTCAGAGGAACAGCCGTGTTAGTCTGTATTCGCAAAAAGAAAAGGAGTACTTGTGGCACCTTAGAGACTAACCAATTTATTTGAGCATGAGCTTTCGTGAGCTACAGCTCACTTCATCAGATGTTTACCGTGGAAACTGCAGCAGACTTTATATACACACAGAAATCATGAAACAATACCTCCTCCCACCCCACTGTCCTGCTGGTAATAGCTTATCTAAAGTGATCAACAGGTGGGCCATTTCCAGCACAAATCCAGGTTTTCTCACCCTCCACCCCCCCACACAAATTCACTCTCCTGCTGGTGCTAGCCTAGGTCTAGGACTGGGGAAGTTCTTACTAATGTATAGTAGTAGAATATTTTACCCCCCTAATTACAGCATGTGGGATATGTATAACACATCTGATTCTTGTCGCTAGCTTCATGTCTAAGCATTTTACTATTTGTATGCCCATCTTTTGTTAATTTTATTTTTTTTAAACTTCTGTTTAGTTCCACGCTATGGATACTTTGCACAGAAATGTCTATGACATTTCCAAGGCGATCTCTGCCCTCGTGCCACAGGGTGGGCCAGTCCTGTGTAGGGATGAAATGGAAGAGTGGTCTGCTTCTGAGGCAAATCTCTTTGAGGAAGCATTGGAAAAATATGGAAAAGACTTCACTGACATTCAACAAGATTTTGTAAGTATAGATGGAGGCTGTGCAATTAAATTGTGCTCTGCTCTGGGACTTCATCTCAAACAGAGTCTGAGCTAGAGTGGCACTTGGCCTTTTGTTCCTTGAATGACCTGAAGTGGAACCAGCACAGCATGATTTTACCTACCCTCTGCCCCACTTCTGAAGTGAAGGCACTGTACTTGAATGGCATTTATTTTATATGGCCACCAAGAATGGTTGGTTCCCCTAATAGGCACTGACTGGCTTCTCTGGTAGGAGGAATTATAGTCTATAAAACACTTAACTGAAAGGCTTCTGTCAAAAGATTCTTGTGAATTTCAGTGAGGCACTAGTTTCTTGTGATGACTGTGGCTTTTTCTTCATGTCCCTAGCTTCCATGGAAGTCCTTAACCAGCATAATAGAATATTACTACATGTGGAAAACTACAGATAGATATGTTCAGCAGGTAAGAGAGATTCAGCACAGTCCATTGAATTTTAAAAGGAGCTGCCTTTGTCTTTAAAGGAGGAGTATTGCTGCTTTGAACTTCCCCTTGGGAATCAGTCCAGCAGGTGGATTTCACAGTGCTCCAAAGCACTAGAAATACCTCCCTTGCCACAGAAGTCTTCAGCCATCCTATAGAAGTCTGAGAAATATGTGGGTTTGCCATGTGTGTTCCTATCACATATGCCCCTTAATTTCCTGTCTGTTAGAGAAGCTTTCAAATGACTGATTTGGAATTTGTCTCACAAGTGTGGGAAGGGGAACAAAACTAAAATCTTTTTATGTTTTTGTATTTAAGGTCAGCATTAATTTTAGCAGGAAGTTACCCAGGAATTTCTGTGTGAGAGGAGGATGCTGTGTAAAACAGCCCTCCCTTGGCTGTTCCTTACTTCTGCCTCCTCATGGCTCCCAGACTGGAGAACCAAGTGCATGCTGTTCATATGGAGTTGCTTCCCTGCAGTTGGAGTATTATGGGAGGAGGTTGATGCCTGGCATTCCTTAACCCGCACACTTACCAGCCAGTTTTGGCCACTATTTGCACTCATTTCCTCCATGTTTGTCTAACTGTGAAGATAAGGTGATCCCTTAAATAGTCAGAATACAATACAGAAACATAAAAATGGGTTCTGTAGAAATCTGGTTACTGAAAACTAGCTGTAAGTGTTGGGTAAAGTGGCAGAAAGGTTAGTTGCAAAGGAAGATAAAATGTGGATCAGTGTAGGTATTTCTGATATACCCATCACCATAATATTTAGAAATACAATGAGGAGTCCGGTGGCACCTTAAAGACTAACAGATTTATTTGGGCATAAGCTTTCGTGGGTAAAAAACCCACTTAAGATGCATCTGAAGAAGTGGGTTTTTTACCCCTAAAATCTTATGCCCAAATAAATCGGTTAGTCTTTAAGGTGCTGCCGGACTCCTCGTTGTGTTTGTGGATACAGACTAACACAGCTACCCCTCTGATACTTGATGTAATATTCAGATCTAATACACTTACAACTGGATTGTAAAATGGAGTGCTTGAGAGAGAGAAAGTGTACAACAGTCATATTCTGCTAACTCCCTCCAATGGAGACTTTGCCTGAGGGTAAGGATATATGGCTGGGTCACGTGTATTTGGCCTGGATCAGACAGATTACATAATTCACACACACACACACACACACACACACACACACACACACACTACACCCCCCCCCCCAATGCTTTTCACATTGACATCCTCAGCTCGCCACTGACTGTCTAACTCTTTCTGTGAGGCAGACGTAGACTGATTCCCCCTCCCCTTCCAGCAAGATAAAGAGTTAAGCACTAGGAACATGGGACAATGAAAGAAGTTGGTGTGATGGGGATATGTTGACAGGAACCTATCCTTTTCTTTCTCTCTCTCCACTGTGGGCACCTCTGACACAGTAGTTAGCTGCTTCTTCACTGCTATGTGTGGCTATCATTATGGGGTTAGATACTGGATAGGCACACTTTCCCAGTACTGCTGATAAGGCAGCTGCTTTGAGGGGAATCTGCTTGTCTCCCTCCTTTCGTAAGGTACTCCTTGATTATTCAATGAAAACTCAGCCCCCTGGAAGTAGGGGCAAGGTGGCTGTTCTCTGTGAGAAGTCTGTCAACCAATCAAAACTGTGCTGCTCACTGCCTAGTTTATTAGGGTCAAAATTGTATATCTGTCTGCTCTCTTGTGTATCCCTGGCCACTGACACTGCCCTGCACCACACACTGAACCAAACAGCTGAAATTAGATCAAAGTATCACAGCCCACAGCAGATTAGACTGTTATGTGCCACAGTCAGAGAATAGAAGGCACCAAGGTGCACCAGTGCCTGAGGTCCCCACAGTGTTGGGGAAATTCTTGTGAGATACAGCCAGACAATCCTGGCAACTGACCTGCAGCCATGTGTTGCAGGGCAAGGTGAAGAACCCCCAAGATCACTGCAAACCCTTGGGTCTAGCCCTTGACCTTAAAATCTCCAATATGTGTGATTCTGCTTGATTTACAAACTGCAGACCTTTTGTTTACTAGATAAATGGTGTGATAACCCTATGCTACTAACTTATTTTGAGAAGGTCTCAAACACAATTTGTATATGTTATGGAAACAATGCATAGGATAGGTATAGCATCTCCTTTTTGAACAAAAATCTCTTCACATTCTCTGAAATGATGCAGCTGGTCAGGAGAGTGAGTGAATAAGATGTTGTACCAGTTCAGGTATATTCTGGTTGGGTATGAGCTAACAAGGAGGACAAGCCCAGAACACTTGAGATCTTTCTTTGAGCACACGCATTCCTGTTGGACTAAAAGAGGATGCAATGAGTGTCCTTTATGAGAAGTTGTCTGACTGTAGTTTTGGAAATGGATTGGTTGAATTCACAGAAGATGCTTTGGTTGACTCTTAATGCCAACAGTTGATTTTCAATGGATATTTCTGTGTCAGAAAGGGAATACATGACAACCGCTAATGCCAGGAAGTGAATTTCATTACTTTTCATTAACAGACCTGTAAGTGCTAGGGGTTGAATCGCCAGACTCCCAGCTAAAATGGTGTGAACATTCGTCTTTTATTTTTTGTTTTTCACTTTAACTTTCTCTTTTGTATTTAAGAAACGATTGAAAGCAGCGGAAGCAGAAAGCAAGCTAAAACAAGTGTATATACCCAACTAGTAAGTATCTTTCCTTATTGATGAATTTCCCATTTCATTATGGATGTTTTATATAGTAGCATTCTCCTTTGCCTGGCAGTATGATGCACTGATTTTATTTGTAAAACTGAAATAGAGTAGCCATCAAATGTCCATGCCAGAACAATTAACAAACTGGATTATTAAATAGGTGAGTAAGGAGGAGTTCTGGTTTTGAAGAATAAATTAGCCATCAGTCTAATTTGGATATATGTTCATCACCTGGAATATGTACTCAATAACTCTACCATCTGTTGAGTCCAATGGAAGGCATTGTATTGTAACAGACTGACCAGAAAATGAGCATCTGTAGCTATTTTTATAGCCTACTGGCCAGAGGATTGAATGCACATGTAAATGTCGTCTCTGGCCTTTTAAGTGTCTCAGTTGTGTTTTTCTTACCAGACACACTGGGCAAAATGATGGCTGTTATTAGCCAGGGGAATGCATGGAGCTTAATGCCTCTTGTGCTCTGGGTGGAGCTGGCTAGGAGTGCGCAGCCACTGCTCTTCCTAGTGCCATTATACTGCTGCTTGCACATGCATGGAAGGCAAGGCCATGTTCCTGTCTTGCCAGACAACTTGGGCAAGGACTGCTTTAGACAGTGCTGGTGGGCTTCCTCCTTGGACTCCCAAGGTTAAGATTGCCTCGTGCATGGGTGCACTGTGGGTGGAGGGACTCTTTGTGTTCTCTTCACCCCCATATAGCACAGTGACACAGGGCTGGCTATAACTTGGCCCTTAGAATTTTTGAGCCGTTTTAATAAATACAAAATCTTTCTTAGTCTTATTTTTCACATAAAATATGGATTGGTGATTTTGGTAGATCAGGAGTGTAATGGCCAAAAAGGGGTAGCTAATAGTTGCTGAATAATAATAGTTCTCTTCCTCCTCTAGATTTTGTTGGCTGGGAGATGACTCCTAGAAATGGTGTTTTCTGGTGCTTTGTTTGATTCAATTCTTAAAATCCAATGCAGTGGGGCTTCTGCCACTTCCCTTTGGAGTCTGTTTCACAGCATAGTATAAATTACTCTTAGGAAGCTGCTTTTGGATGAGGAACTCAAATTAAGAAAGGGAAAATTTCTTCCCTTTACTCCTAGACATACTTCTATGTGTGCTACCCTAAATAATTCCTCTCCCTCCTACCCTTCAAATATTTAAGAACTCTTTTTTCATGTGTCCTTTCAGCCATAGCTAAATCAAAATTTATATATTGAGCTTGCAACTCGATCCCCAAATCCCTGATCATTTTTGTTACTCTCTTCTGAATTCCTTGCAACATGCCAATATCTATCTGGTAACAATGTCCAAAATGGAATGTAATATTCAGAATGAAGTTGAATACAATTTTTCTCCCATTATTATTCAGTGGTAATGTCCTTTATGGAAGCTGATACAATTCACGGTGACACAGGATATCAAATTAGACATAAATGCATAATATGATAAGACAGCAAAACAAATGCCATTTTAGACTGAAGATACAAAGGATATTAACAGAAAAGACACATTATTCCCCCTCTCAGTTGCTTTGGTCACATAATAAATGAAATTGTTCATAGTTTTCTGTACGGGTTGGTTAATTTCCTCTATTTGTGTGAACGGTTTGCCTTTTTCCCCTTTTTCCCAACCTCAAACATACATGTGAAAGTATTCTGTTATTTGCAATGACACTGTCATACCGTGCAGGATACATCTGTAGGTTCCTTACTTATTGCTCTTCTTCTGATGTGCTAAGAATTTTAAATACCATGAGCCTCATTCATTAAAATCTGATTCTCTTGGTAAGGGCTGTAACCTCAGTGTGCAGGTGATGGGACTGCACACTTGAAGCCTGCCATCACAATTCTGCTTGCCCGAGTGGGGAGAAGCCTATTCTGCCCCATGCTGCTTGATGCATTGTTGAGGATAGTGGAGTTCATTGGGTAATCAGAGCTGGCTGAAAATTTTCCAACAGAATGCTTATCTGTTGGAAAATGCTGCTTAGGTGGAAGAAATGTTCCATGCAAATTGTGTCTTCCCACAGAAATGTAGCAGGTAAGCTGGTGAGAGCGTGACTGTCTACCTGTTTCCTGCCAGCCTGGGCTCCCTCAGCCCCTGGGCAGTCTGATTCCCAGGGAGCTGGGCAGCACAGAGAGCTGAGCTACCTGGAGAAAGCCAAAAAATTCTTCCAGTTCTTCTGAAATGGAACTTTTCAGAATGTTTCCTCCTGTAAAAGAATTCAAATTTTTTACTCTTTATCCCAATTTGTGGTAATGAATTTTCTCCCACAATCAAAATTTTTCATGAAATTTTACAGCCAGGTCTACCAGTCGGCTAATCTGGGGAAGGCTTTCACACCCCATTCCCTACTCTGCTTGTTACCCTCAGCACAAGCACTCATGCAGCATTCTGGTGAAGGGACAGACGATGGATGGAAGAGTCCAGTCTGCAAAGCAGGGACCTTCAGCTCTGCTTCGCAGATGTCTTTCACCTTCTCCCCTGCACACAATACTAAGGCATGAATGCACAGGTGACTTGAATGGTAGTGTACTATAATTTACATAGTAAGCCTTTAAGCAAGTGTAGCATACACTGTCCTCCACTTCTGACCTTCTCAGCATGTATCAGGAAAAGCTGCAATTCTGTGCACAGCCCTCTTCTCTCCCCCAAGGGCTATTACTGCCTGCTTGTCAAATTTCAGATCAAGACATGGAACTGAGACCACTCATGACATTGATGGATGGGTAGAGGTCACGTGCTTGTTCTGACGGATTTTTACTACATTTGGACACTGGTTCATTAGGTTATGGCAGGTGTGGGAGGAGTTGCATGGCTCCACTCATGCTGTAGTGATAAACATACTACAAGTACCTAAATGCATAGAAACACAACCTGGTGTGGCATTGGCTGGTTAAACTACTGTGCTCATTTGTGTTTGAAGCTTTAACAATAATGATCCATGTTTGTCCTCTTAGGAATAAACGATTGTCACTTGCTCCAATGCTGACAAAGACCCACCTACAAGCAAGTAAAGCTGCTCAGTGTTTGCCCTAGGATTTGACTGCAAGGAGTGATCTAGAAAGCCCTTAGGGAATGTGTGCACTGCAAAACAACAAACACACACATACAAAAAACCGCTGCAGCAATGAGTCTCAGACCCTGGTCAACTGACTTGGGCTCATGCTTCAGGGCTAAAAACAGTGTAGATCTTCCTGCTTGGGCTGGAGCCTGAGGTCTGAGACCTTCCCTTCCACCCCCTTGCTGGGTTTCAGAGCCTGGGCTTTGACCTGAGCAGGAACATCTGCAGTGCTACTTTTTAGCCCTGTAGTTCAAGCCCGAGTCAGCTGATCTGCGTTCTGAAACTTGCTGCCAGGGGTTTGTTTGTTTGCTTGTTTGCACTGAGTGCATGTACCCTAAGTTAATTCAGGACACTTTTCTCTCGGTCTCTGGGCACTTCAGCTGATGGAACCCTAGTTTTCTCTTGTGCTGATAGAGGGAAAGGCACTTGAGAGTTGGTAGGAAGAGAAAATAGAGCCAAAGCTGTGGTGTGTTGTTAATTGTCTGTGGTTCTTGTATGGCCCCCATTACCAAAGTAATAGGCAGAGGTGCCTCTTAGTCTTTAATGTATTTATCCCCACAATGCCCTGTGGGGAAGGGCAGTGCTATTAACCCCATTGTACAGATGGGGAATTAAGTCACAGAGAGACTAAGTGACTTACCTAAGGCTACACAGAGACACTATGTGGAGCATCAAGTTGAACCTAGATCTTGAGTCCCAGAAAAAATGCCCCCTACCATTGGACCAGCCTTCCTCTCCTCTCAGACATGATTATGGGACAGAAACCTACAGTAGATAAAGGTGAACCACCGTTTGTAATGCACAATAGTGCCTTTCACCCTGAAGGAATCAATGTTGTGTATCTAATATGTCTGTCTACTGCACTGCTACAGACTAGGGACCGAGTGGCTAGGCAGCAGTTCCACAGAAAAGGACCTGGTGGACGAGAAGCTGGATATGAGTCAACAGTATGCCCTTGTTGCCAAGAAGGCTAACGGCATTTTGGGATGTATAAGTAGGAGCATTGCCAGCAGATCGAGGGACATGATCATTCCCCTCTATTCAGCATTGGTGAGGCCTCATCTGGAGTAGTGTCCAGTTTTGGGCCCCCCACTACAAGAAGGATGTGGAAAAATTGGAGAGAGTTCAGCAGAGGGCAACAAAAATGACTAGGGGGCTGGAGCACATGACTTATGAGGAGAGGCTGAGGGAACTGGACTTGTTTAGTCTGCAGAAGAGAAGAATGAGTGGGGATTGGATAGCTGCTTTCAACTACCTGAAGCGGGAGAACAAGGAGTAATGGTCTCAAGTTGCAGTGGGGGAGGTTTAGGTTGGATATTAGGAAAAACTTTCACTAGGAGGGTAGTGAAGCACTGGAATTGGTTACCTAGGGAGGTGGTGGAGTCTCCTTCCTTTGAGGTTTTTAAGGTCAGGCTTGACAAAGCCCTTGCTGGAATGATTTAGTTGGGGATTAGGTCCTGCTTTGAGCAGGGGGTTGGACTAGATGACCTACTGAGGTCCCTTCCAACCCTGATATTCTATGATCCTATGATTCTAAGGAATACAAAAATAAATGGCAAAAGCAACAGCATTGAAAGAATATTTGAAAATGAAACTTGTATTTCACTGAGTTTGAGTCACGTGTGCTATAGAGTAATTCCTCCAGGAAGTTCAGTAATGCCACGCTTCTTGTACTTTCATTATGCAAAAAGAAAAGGAGTACTTGTGGCACCTTAGAGACTAACCAATTTATTTGAGCATGAGCTTTCGTGAGCTACAGCTCACTTCATCGGATGCATACCGTGGAAACTGCAGTAGACATTATATACACACAGAGACCATGAAACAATACCCCCTCCCACCCCACTGTCCTGCTGGTAATAGCTTATCTAAAGTGATCATCAAGTTGGGCCATTTCCAGCACAAATCCAGGTTTTCTCACC